GTTGCTGCTCTCTGGAGAAGCTGCTATGTTTGGAATGAGAAGGATGCTGGCCCTTCAGCTGGAGAAGCATGAAGAATCTGGGCTTCACAGATGGTAACGTGCTGGACGTGAAGGTCTTGATCAGCTCTGTCACCTCTAGTCCCTTCTCTTCCCTTCATGCTATGTTCCCTGTAGGCAAGATGTTGTGGTGGGTAGGGACAGATGGGCTTTGAGGTGAGCAAGGTGATGCATTCCAGTGCTTCCAGGAGAGGCTGGCCGGGAACCCTGATCTTCTGCAGCCTTCCTACACCAGTTTATTACCCTTCACCACTGTCTCCTGCTTCCCTGCCATTGAATGCTTTTCCAGGTTTTCCTTGTGCTTGTCAGTCCTTCATCTGTAGAGTTTTGCAGGCAGTCTTCACTCCATGATAACCTGAGCTACTGGCAGCAGCCCTGCCCTGTGGCACAGGAGAGGTCCAGCTCTTGAAGAGGACCTGTCCTTGAGTGCAATACTCTACCTCAGCATTCAGTCTCAGCAGCATGGCTGTCCTGTGCTTCGGACGGAAGAGGCCAAGTTGAGTTGCAATCTCTCATTCCTAGGCTGGCAAAAGCATGCCATTTGGACAACTCTGGCTTTTCTGGATGCACTCCACCCTCTCCATCCTGTACTCCATAAGGTCTTCCTGCATGCAGCTCTGATGGTCTTTACCACATTTTTTCACAGAGGGGAATGTGTCATGATGCACGTTTCTGCACACATCATAGTATCTCTGGACCTCTGTGAGGACTTGCAATTCCAGTATCCAGTGGTGAACCTGGGGCACACAATTGGAGGATTATCTCTGCAGAGCCAGGCTTAACACACTACCTCTCTTATAACAGAGCTCATCTTCCCCAACTTGCTGTTGCCAGGAGGAGAGGGCTTTGGAAAGGGAGATTGCCAAGTAGTGAGTGAACAGCAACGCTTTTTATCAGCTTGCAAGCTGTTTGGAAAGGCTGGTGGGTGCAGAAATGTCAGCCCAGCAGTTGTCTTGATCCAGTCTGTGAGAAGATGGAATCATAAAGTCCAGTTAAGAATACACTGAAGCTTTGGGGCATTTTGTAGTGGTGGGTGAGAAGCATGGGTTTGGATCTGAGGAAGGATCCTGCTCTAGTCTCCTGCTTTGTAGAGGTTTGTTGTATACAATGTGAGCAAGTAACATGGATTGAAGTGGTTAAACAGGAACAATCATGAGAAGTTCTCTGCTCCTGCTGAGACAGAGCAGAAGAATAATCTTCAGCTCAGGCTTTGGATTCTTGGTCCTTTCAGTGTGTGTTTCAGGCGGGAGGACGTGGCTCAAACAGATGTAGCTCTTTCTAAGCTTGACTTGCCCGAAAGGCTGTAGCTTCTCTTGGCTGCTCTTCAGGCTGTTGGCTGCTGGTAGCTTCTCAGAAACATCCAAATACCAATTATAATCCCAAACTTTGCTCATCACCTACCAGCAAGTCTTGGCTAATTTGAAGCCATACCATTTTCTATATGGAAGTTTTTTTGTCTGCCTGTAGATAGCTGTTGTTTTAGCCTGGTTGAGCTCTCCATGTGTTTGTACTTTCCCTGTTGTCCCTTTTGTCCAGCCTGACACAGAAGTTGCCTGGGCCTTGCAGTCCTCACTGTGTCAGCAGCACATTGTCCCTGTATCAGCTGGAGCCTGCAGGCTTGTGGCACATGCTGTGCAGTGCTCAGAAGACTAGTGCTGAGCGCTCACAGGGACATGGCAGTGTGATGCTATTTCTGCCTGGCAACAGGAGGAAGACCTGTCCTTCAGTGACCAATAAGCCTTTTGACTCAGCTGCCCTGGATATAGAAGGAATCCTGATGCTAGGTCAGAGCTGAGGACTCTGGAGCAGCAGTTGGTGCTCTTCTGCAAAATCTCACTGCCCTGGAGCCAGCCCTACCCCTACCACTGTGATGGCTGAACAATGGGGAGAAGAAATGCTGCCTAACACCCCTGTGCCCTGGGCGCTGCTCCCAGCCATGTCTGTGAACAGCAGTGTGGCAGGAGTTCCTCTGGAGGCTCAGTGACAGCCAGTCCTTGTTAGACTCGGGCAAGGTTTGCCATCAGCTGGTTGCCCACTGCTGTGACCTGTGTCTAGTCTTGTGTCTTGTAGTTTATTGCTCGGCTCCTCACCTTGAGTTCTGTGTACTGACTCCACCTAATCACAGTAGAAGGTTTGCCCATCTTTTAGCCATGACTTTGCCATGTTTTTCCAGCTCCAAAAAAGCAAATGCTAGGAAACTGCATCTTTCAGTATGTTGGATAATCACACATCTGGAATTAGCTTTCACATTGAGGTAAAGTTGACTGACCTGTTCTCTGTCATCCCATGGAGAAACTTCCCCAGTCATTTTGTACCATTATATAAATATATATATAAATATAAATATATAAATACAATATGTGAAGACATCTTATTGGTTTTTATTTGAAACAATTTTTAGGCTTGTTTTTGGGTATCTGTGCTGCCTGTAATGTATTGACCTGTTTTATAGGTGCCTTTTTATTAAAAAGACAAATTTCAAGACCTGACCCTGTGCCTGTATTTTTCCACATGATTTTCCACTGGACTGCAGCAGAGAGAGAGAGTGTGCAAGGTGCTGGAAGGTTTGTGTGGGCATCAGGGGAGCCCCTTCTCTGCAGCACTCCCAGGCACGTGTTCATTCATGCGTTCCCTTACTCATGCATGCTTCACTGCCTGCCACGGCCCTGTGATCACTGTGTGTGCGTAGCAGGATGCTCTGCTGGAACCCCAGCTCTGTCTCCTGGGAGACTTGGTTGCCCTGCAGGAAACCCAGAGCAGTGTGCTGTTGTGAGGGTCTTCGTGTTCCCACCTTTGGGGTTGCCTTCATCAGAGACCAGGGTTTCCTCTGGTTTGTCTGTTGGAGCCTTGTTTGCAGAGCACAGTCCGGGACTGGAGGTGCAGCGGCTGTGCTGTGGATGGTGGTGACATCGCCTTCCCACGCATCATCTCCCTGCTTTCTGCAGAAGCCACCTTGGAGCTCCCCTTGGCTCAATCCTCCTTCCTGGTAGCCTGGGTGGGCAGGGTGCATCTGCCTCACTTGGCAGCCATGGCATAGGGGCTGAGCAGAGCTCCAGTGGGGAGGATGAAGGTCTGCCCGAGGGCTGCAGTGGTGGCTTTGGCAGTGTGAGTACTTAGCAGGGAAGCCCACTCTGGGGCAAGGTGTCGTGACAGCCATGCAACATTTGAGGAGACAGTAAGGATTTTGCTGAGTGGAAAGCAGAGCTTCCTATGCAGTGAAGGAAAGTTCCTCTTGCTTTCTTCTTACCCACATTCAGCAGGCTGGCTGCAGGCAGCTATGGGAGGAACAATGGCAACTCTTTGGGGAAGGTCTGCCAGCTCTGAGCCAAGCCATTCCCAGGCTGTGTGGGCCAAATATAGGTGTAAGGGCAGTTTTCCAGTCAGGTTAGCAGCTGCTGTAAAACTGAGGCAGAAGGTGCTGCGGTTAGTGGAAGAGGCTCTGTACAGCAGAGAGGTAATGCAGGTCTGGACTGACTCTGAACACAGCAGAGCCTTCTGCAGCACTGGTGAAGGGGAATCTGAGCAAGGTGCTCCTCTAAGCTCTTTGAGCAGAGCTTGTCAGAAAGGTGCCATCTGCCCACTTAGTCCTTTCTGATGCGTCTCCCTTGAATAGAGTGACACAGTTACAGACAAATGCTTACAAGCACTACACATGAGAAGACTGGTGTTTTATTCACCTGTTTATTACAGCTTACCTCAAAACTTTCTAAAGGTTTGTACATACAAGTGCAAAAAGCTATAGTAACAACAGATGTGTAGTCTGTTCACTCTCATTTGAGTGCAGATTTTCTTTTTACTTTGTGACCACTGTAAATATTTTTATTATTATTGAATACTTTATTATTTTTTTCAATAACATTTTCATATAGAAACACAGTTGTCACCATAACCTACTGGGGAGGTGTTTACAATGCTCCTGCAATGGGTTTTCTCACTGGTACAAGCATGGAGAACACAGTTGCAGGCTTAAGAGACTTGCCCTTCTCTGCTGCATGTATGTGCCTGAACAACCACAGCTGCCATTACTTGAAAGTTTCATCTTTGAAGATGCGGTGCTGCAGGAAATGGAGGACTGCCTTATACTAGATGAGTTTTCTCCTCAAGACACAATGTGAGATCAAGCTATTGAGATCTCTGCCTGAGTCAGGCTGAGGTAATGTGGTCCCTTCCATACTGGCTGGTCTTTTTAGCAGGGCCCTTGAGTACTGTGAAGTTCACCTGGGACTGAGCCGTCTGCTAGTGGGATGAATTTCAGAAGTGAGATTAGCATAAAATTCCTGTTGTCACAGGAGAACTAACATTGTTTCGACATTGCTTAAAATGTGAGGTGAAGGGTAGAGGAGATTTTAAAGTGTGCATGTGAGGAGGGTGGCATTGATATGTATGGCTCTCCTACAGTTCAGGGCACAGTACTCTTTAGGAACAGAAACGTCATGGAGCAGTATTGTGGGCCTGCTGCCATGTTAAACTGTGACAAGACCTCCTAGGCAGCAGCAAGCTGTTTTGAGTCCACTGGGGCTTCCCCACACACCAGCTTGTGGTGCAAGAATTAATGATGGGGAAAGCTGCTGCTCTTACTTTGAAGCAAATTATCATCAAGCTGCCCTGATCTGAGCAGTTTCTGCATACTTGCAGTTCAGGGCAAGATGACCACCCAGGTCTGTCCTCTGTACATCTGGATGCAGTTAATCTCTGAAAGCCCTGTAGGTGCAGGTGGAGGAAAACTAACAGAAAGCATAGTGCAAAGCAAAATGTCACATTTCCTCTAGCCTTGCTAAAAACAAAGGAGACTTTCCCTTACTCTGGGGCAGTGGGTCTCCTTGTGCTCAGAACCCATAAATAGCCATACAACTAGCTGCCAAAAAAAAAAAAAAAGTTATACTATCAGCTTTACAAGGCTGTGTGGTTTCTCTCCCCTGTGTGCGCTCACAAGACAGAAGCCATCTCCTCAGACAGTGTTCCTCCTTAAAGGAAAACTTTTGCATAGTCAGGCATTTAGTTCAGCAGCCGCTCACAGAAGATCATAACAGCAGTAAAACAGATCAAATGAGTGGGGAAGGATGCAACTGGTGTCAGGAAAGGAGTCTGTGACAGTCAAATCTTTCAGTCTGTGGGAGGACCTCCTGGCATGAGCTGTGTTGGGAAGATGAGGGTGTTGTGGCAGGCTGGGGGGATGTTATGCAGCAGGAGGACAATGTTGCAGTCAAAGAGTGTCCAGCACTGTACACCCATGCTATTGGATTGAGCTTTGCAGCCCCCATCAGTCCTACCTGCATCTCTCCAGTTGCGATGGCCACTGAGTCCCACGGCTTCCCTTGAGCACATGTGTACCAACCTTAGCTAGTGAAATGGAGACCTGTTTACTGACATGACTCATTTACTTGGCTGCACATTTTTCCTTAACCCTGGCACCCCAGTCCTGTGCCTGGCTTTGTGCACAAGATGCCTGCAGTCCGTTTTTCAAGGGAGAGGTGGGAATGTCAGCTTCAACCCACTTGAGCGACCATCTTCATCCAGCTCCACAAGAGTGACCATCAGACATCCAGCATTCACCAACAGTTGCCAGATGGGTCTCTACAAGTTTGAGAATCAGGAACAGCCAAGCAAGGTGTCTGATGAGATTTGGGTGTTTGGTGGCTATTGGACCTGTTTCCTGAGGAGTGAAGAAAGTTGTGGGGATGCTTGTGAAACTTGTAATTGAGACCACAGCAAGTGTGCCACTGGGAAGGAAAGATCCAGGCCAGTTCTTCCCCGCAGGCAGCCCTTCCCAGCTAGAAAGTGGAGATGGAGGTGATGTTGTCAGACTCTATCCCACTACCCTTCCTTGCCACCTCCAGGATCTCTTGCAGGGTCTCCTGGCTTATACAGCCAAGCTCCTGCAGGATCCGGAAGAAGTCATTACGGAACTTGACCCCAATAAAAGCGTAGAGGATGGGGTTGAGGCAGCAGTGTGTGAAGCCAATGGCCTCTGTCACCATGATGGCTGTGTCCAGTTGGTCTTCCAGGAGGCAGTTCTTGGTGAAGGCTTCTAGCTTGGTAAGCGTGTTCAGGAAGATAACAATGTGGTATGGGCTCCAGCACAGGAGGAAGATGCCTGTGACCAGTATGGCCACACGGACAGCTTTTTGCCTCTGCAGGCGCTGGGACTGACACAGTGCCCGGATGATGGCCATGTAGCAGTAACACATGACCAGCAGAGGCACAAAGAAGCCCACGGTGTGGTAGAGGAAGCGAGTTGCCAGCCATGCATTGTTTCCATCAATCCCAACTTCTGGAAAATAGCAAATGCTGCGGTTGCTGTCATCTGTCCAGACTTCCATGAAGATGAGATCAGGTAAAGTCAGAAGCAATGAGCAGAGCCAGACAGCTGTGCAGGTGAGGTGGATGGAGCGAGCTCTGCGTTTGCGGTAGGTGTGGATCGCATAGACGATGGCCAGGTAACGGTCCACTGCGATGCACCCCAGCAGCATGCTACTGCAGTAGAAATTGATCTTGTGGACAGCACTGAGTATCTTACAGAGGAACCTCCCAAATACCCACCCAGCCAGGCTCTCCACCACACTGAATGGGAAGGTGAGCAACAGTGCTAGGTTGGCGAGGGTGAGGTGGAAAAGGAAGTTTTCTGTGGTGGTACGAGACCGCTTGAACCTCTCTAAAATGACCAGGACCAGAGCATTGCCCAGAGTCCCCAACACAAACATCAGCAGATAGATGAGGGGCATGAAGACCTTTCTGAAGGGGTCTCCCTGGTTGCCAACCACAGATGAGGCTGGGTTGAAGCAGAAGTAGCCCTCCAAAGAAGGGGTGGTGTTCTCAGCTTCATAGTAACCACTCAGCTCCACCTGGCTCTGGGGAACAGAGAGAGTCTTGTTAATAGAGGGGAGTTTCTCAACACAAGAACCCAGTCCCCCAGCTGCACCTGACAGACCTAGAGCACAGCACCTCCATGTCCTGCAGCCCACCTGCATCAGGAGGAGGTGCTGTCTGTAGTGTGATGAGGCCCCTCTTGTGTTGGAGGTGCCTCTGCTGCCAAGAGTTGCAGCAGCAGGTGGAGAGGCTTTTCTCCATCTGTGACAGTGAGGGCTGCTCAGTCTATAATCTTTAACTGGAGTATTTGGGGATGTTTTGGTGTCCAATCAGATGATCAGTTTCATCTTCTTGTTCTTGCCAAGTTAGCTGCTGGCGAATTTTGCTTTCTCACATAGAATGGAACCCTCCTCTACCAGCTTTCCTGATTTTTCCCACCCACTTCTTATATGGATCACTCCTGTCCTGCCTGCCTGCTGTCAGGTATGAAGGTGGTAGGATTCACCACACAGCAACATCTGCACCTCAAATTCTGTGCAGTGAACCTGTCCCCTTCTTCTCATCCTCAGAGGCCTGAGAGCTGCCTATGAAAGAGCAAGGTGAGGTGGGGTCAGCAGCAGCTGGCCTTTGAGATCACTTCCCACACACTTGGAGGAAGGTGTGGGGCAAGTGTTCAACACAATGGGAGGAAAGCCTCTGAGGTGCTGTGGTGCCATAGCTACAGGAATAGGTGATGGAGAGAGAGATCTGTTGATAAAGCTTTCAGTTCTGAATTAATTGCAGTCAGAGCAGGAAAGGGAAGGGAAAACACCACTCAGACCCCAGACTGATATCCAGTAAGGGAAGTGCAATAGAGCTACTGCAGATGTGACTTGCCCTTGGTTTGCTGTATCTTCTTGACCAGCCTGCATTCAAGCTGAAGCTGAGGGCAAGTCTTGAGCTGTTGTTGGGCTCCCTGGATGGTGGTCATGCTTCAGCTGGCCTTGCACAACAGAGAGCAGTGGAGGAGGCTTGTGGCAATATGAATATTAGTGACAACTGGGAAGAGCTCAGCAGCAGTCACCCTGAGGTCCCCCACCCACACCCTCTCTGGAGACCTATGCTGAGACTTCAGTGTTGATCACAGCGGAAGTCTCTGCTAATGCTTTCATACCTTTCACTGCCAGCTGCAGCAGTTTGCACCTGCTGCTCCTTCCCTCATCAGCTAAAGTTCCTGTCTAAAAATACCAGCCCTGCTTTACACAGTTTTAGACCTGATTTTGGGGGTTTTTGCTCACCCAAGGGGCTACAAAGCTACAAAGCTGTGACCAGCCTGGAGTTGTACCTAGCTAAGGAAGGGTGATTTATGTTTCTTCTCTCTCAGGCAGCTTTCCCTGGGTAATGCACTGGGTGAATCTGCACATGACTGTGGGGGCTTATCTAAACTCCTCTGCTACTGAAACTACCTGCATGTTTCCAGAAGAAGCCTGAGCATGCTGATGGGGCTTAAGTCTATGGGGAATTACCAAACTTGTAGAGCAGACAGCAGGCACAGGCAGTCTCCAAGCAGTAGGAGGGTCCACTCCCCAGGAGCACTCCAGTTTCCCAAGGGAATGAGTCCTTGGGAAAAGTGTGGAATAAGCGTGCCCAGCTCTTGCTAATCTAACTGTGGGGCTGCAAGCCTTTGGTGAGAAGCATTTTGTATTACTAAAGAACTTTTTATTTTTCTGATGTAGGGTATGATTTTGGGCCTTAAGAAATCCCTCCCAGTTATTTTCCTACCCAGCTTGAAAGTATTTCCTGCCTATTCTGGACCTGGACCTCTCAAGAGGAGTTAACAACACACACAGAAATCTGTGATGTGTTGGCCAAGGCCAGATCCTTGAACCTCTCTGATTAAAAGCAAAACAACCTAAAAACCTTTGCATTTTGGTGTAGTGACCAAACCAGGCTGCTCAGGCAGTGCTGGTGACTGTGCTGAAAACCCCAAACAGATGGTATGTTGGAATGGGAAATTTCACTGGGGAGAGGTTGGACTTTGAAGGGAAGAAGCTTTGAAGGGAGAAATGAAATTATGGAAAATAGCAGGGTTTGCTGGCTGGAGTGTCAGTCCTCCCTTGGAGCCGTGCCAGCACCATTGATGGCAGTGGATGGGTAGCTTGGCTGGCGTTCCGTGGCTTTGGCTGCTGACAAGTTTCCAGCATCACCTGGTGTTTGGAGCCGGAAGTGCAGAGGCTGAGTGCCACTATCAGACACCATCTGATTGCTGATGGAGAGCAGGTAAAGAGGGCTCTTACTGTAAACCACTCGTTGTGGGTAGGGGAAGCTTATGTGGAGCTGTGTTTGAATCGTTCTTGCCTGCACCTCTAAGCAGAGCAACACAGAGGGGTAGGAGTGGACAGAGATGAGTTGAAGACAAATAAAAGAGGATGAAAAATCAGAGTCTGGGCTGAGACAGGAAGGGCAGGGACCAGAGCTGCAGGAGATGTACTGAATATGTCAAGCTGAGGGTTCTGGGAACTCTGCTGCAATTCTAGGACTGGAAGTGGGTGGCTGCCTGATCAGGGATGGGATAAGTCAACAGTGAGCATGCAGAGGGACCTTTGAACAGGTCTTCTGCATGAAGGGTAGGGCTTGCTCTTCCCTGTGTGTAGGAAAAAAGGAGGAACAGAACATTTGGTAACAACTGAATCCAACATTTCTCTTTTTTGGAATAACTAATCCTGAGGTCTGCTGCAGGGAGCCACTGTAGTAAAAAAATAAATTCTGAGATGCAATATTTGAAAATCAGGGTAATGATAATGCAGCTGTGTCCTTGCCATTGGATAGCACAGCATACTCTGTAAGGTGCAGCTGCTCTTTTTCACTTGTAAAGGCTGGGAAGAGAACTATGAAGTAGAATACCTAGTGTCATCACTCCCTGTTAGAAATAGTACTTGCAATTTATCTTTCAGTCTTTAAAAGTCCTCTCCTGTAAATATACTGCATGTTCCCCTTTCAGCAGAGTGTATGTGGAGTCTGTGGAGTATGTGGAGCCATATGTATGGAAGCTGGTACATGGAGCAAGCAAGCAGGGTGGTCATACCAAGGGTTTTCACACACGGAGAGAGAAGACTGGGTTTGCTTGGGTATTCCAGTTGTCAAAAGAGACCAAATAAGGTGTACAGGGCTTTGCACACTGTGTACAGTCATTTGTACCACTGAAGCCTGGTGCAAAAGGTGCCTGGCTCAGAATAAGTGTTTTATGCCCACACTGGGCTAATGGCTGTGCAGACAGCAGAGCAGCAGGCAGCAGAAGCTGGGAGAGGCTGGCAGCACAGGATAGGACTGCTGGAGCCTCACTCTCCAGGTAAGTCACCTGGCCCTTTGCAGAGCCTCTGGTCTGTGTCCTCATGCAAGGACAGTACTTGGGCTTAGTGCTTGCCAGTACAGGTCCTGGTAGCTTTCCCCAGCAGAATACCCACCATCCCTGGATCCCAGTGGCTGTAGCCACACTACGCCAGCTCTCTGCAAGCAACAGCTTGTGGTCAAGTCTGAACTTAAGAGATGGAAGGACTGATTACGCTGGCATAAGAAACGGCTCAAGCTCTGCCTCTGCCAACAGGAGGGTTAGAAGATGGATGGCCAGAAACCTGGCCTTTCAGCCCGCCCCAGCTCTGCCATCCCTGTTATCAAGCAAAGCCAGGCTCAACTCACCAAGTCATAGGTCTCTGAGGAGTAGCTGACAGGCCCCATGGTTTGAGGGTCACGATCCCTCTCTCCTCCGGATATTGCAACAAAGTTCTTTTCTGGGGTGGAGTTAATCATTTAAGTGAGCGGAGAGGGGCACAGAATGTAACAATAGAGTATTTGCAAGGCAAATGAGCTCCAGGCATAGAGTGACCTGATTGATGTAAAGATTAACATCTAGCTTTATCATCTTTTTACTAGTGCTGTAAGTTGACTTTTAAAGTATAGTTTTAAGACTCCATATTCCTTTGGTCTATACCGCAGAAGATCCAGAACATCTTTAGGTCTTCCCTGAAAACCTTCTTGCCCACAGCTGTCCTTGTTACACCTGGTCTGAAAGGCTTTGAAAAGGTCTGTGCTAAGGACCACCCTTACCAGAAACCTCCTGGATCCAGGCACTGCTCTGGAGCTGTGCAGGACTTTGAAGCATGGGTATGGTCTGTATGATCATCACCCTCTGCCTTGGGGTCCTCCTGGCTGCTTTAACCCCATTGACTTGTAGTTGTCTTCTGCTCCTTCTGCTGCTTCACCTGTTGTCTGGGCTTGGGGAAGTGTGAGGTGGCTTGCACAGGAAAGCAAGGCCTTGGCAGCCACACCGCAAGTCTAGAGCAGGGCTAGCAGGGGCTGGGCAGCTTGACTTCACAAGGGTAACAAAGGATAATCAGGATGGAAAATCAAGATTTTCTCTGCTCAGGGAAACGGGCATTTTGTTCAGTGATGTCACAGCAACAGACTCATAGAGAGAATGCCCCGGTCTGAGTCGGCATTGCAGCTGGCATTTTGGCAGAAAGCTTTTTCTGCGCGAGCAGCTGAGGTGGTTTGACAAGCAGAGTTCTTATCCTCCTCTTGTCTAGATACAGCTGCATTAAGGCCTCTCTACCAGCAAGGACTCTGGTGGGACTTTGGACTGGTGAAGGAGGAGGTGGTGTTAATTCTTCTGAGCACTGCTGGATTACAATCACTCGTGTTTCTTAGATCCCGACTTGTTGGGCACCTGCTGCCCCGAGGACATCGCTGTCCTCCCCTGCCGTGAGGACTTCTGTGTGCACCTGCACGTGCTCATCAGCTTCTGGGCAGTTTTACCTGAGAGGATGGAGAGCAGCAAAACCGGAGGGAGGACGTAGGGAGCTCTCACTGTGCCTCACTGACAGGGAGAACACAGATTGAGTAAGCCCTTTGCTGCAAGAGCTGAGGGGTAAGGCGAGTGGGAGATCACTGGGCCCGGGAGACAGAGAGGTCAGGAAGGATGTTCTCAACCGGCTACAACTGGAGGGCGGAGCTTGTGCTTTTGCTGCTGAGGGTGGAAAAACAACCACCTACAGACAGATGTAGATGTGAGGAACTAGATAAAACCGGGAATGTTCTTGTCCTTTTGCATCATTTTGAAGTCTAAAAAGACATCTTTAAAGATAAAAGCATGAGCACGGCCAGAACAGAGAACCCTGTATTTTGGAAAAAACATTTGAAGAAAAAATTGTCTGCAAAGCAGTAACTACTAAGATTACACTCCCATTGTGTCTCGCTTTGTCAAAATCCACGTCTAAGTAACACCGGTCTAAAAACAAATGCCAATCCCCAGCCTGCCACGATCGGCGGTTACGACTCCTACAGCTGTGGCTCCGTCCCTCATTCTTACGTTTGTGTTGTTTTAATGGGCACATAGCGAAGCCCCGTTACGTTTCCAGGTTCAAAGGGGAGGGGCAGGTCTGAGGGAGCAGCGCGAGCGGCCAGCGCGGTCAAG